AGATGGGCAGAAAAGCAGAACTTGGGCTGCTCTGGTGCTTCAGAGCTCAAATGAGGTCTCGTTCATTTTTGATAAGAGCACAAAGTGAGCCTGACTTTATAAAACAAGCTGTTATGCAAGCATGTCTAGTTCCTCAGATTTATAGCCCCTGCCAGTCATTGTGAAACGTAGCAGCTCACAAAGGTTTCTAGTACACATGAATCTAGAGACAAAACCTTCTGAGACAGTAAATCCATAGAGGATAGCCAATGCTGGTGTTTTACAAACCAGTTTAGTAAAAGGCTAAAATTAACACTATTGCTTTGACTGCTGGAGTGATTTTTTTTTTTATTCAGACAGACAGATTCTTGTACTTTCCATACAGTTTGGCACAATTATAAAGTTGAGCTAAAATGTGGCTAAAATAAAAAGACCACTTTTATCACCCAAAACCTTTCCTGCTGCTGGCTTCACAACTCTTTAAAAACTGGGAAAGGATTGGAATCAAAAATGAATTCAACAACCGATTCAGGGAACTCAGGGTGGACTGGGCACAAGGAAAGTCATGGCCCTCCAGGAGCTGCAGTGTTGTGTGTGGGTGGAGCACTGCCGATCAACAGGCCACACTTACTGAAATAATCACAACTCAGCTCCACCAAGTGCTCTCAGAGCCAAGCTGATGCAGACAACAGCACTACAGCCTCCTGGAGGTGCTGCCGCAGCCGAATCTCCCAGCTTCCTTCAAGGAACAGCTGGACCAGGCGCTCGGATTAACGAGCCGCCCACACGGGCACGGGCTAGACGAGCCGGACAGCGTCCTCTCCCGAGGAACCGCTCGTCCCCAAGCCTGACCTCTCCTCCTGCAAGCTCCGTGGCCCTGGGGCTCATCTACTCCCGCTCAGAGCTGTGCAGCATCTACCGCATTTCATCAGACGGCAGTTTATCCACGGTTGGGAAACGATTAGAAGGAAGAAAACTGTTTATGAAATAATATTTGTGCGTGGTTGGGTGGGAGGGGCTGTCCCTGACCTTCAAAGAGGAACAGAAGGACACGGCTAAATGCAATGTTGCTCTGCAGAATGCCCAGCTGCATCAGAAAAGCCAGACAGGAAATAGAGAAAAATTCAATAACACAATCCTATTTAATTCAGACGGTTTTGTTAGTTTTGATCAGATAAAACTCCCAGTTCCTGAAAGTCTACAACCGTCAGGCACTGATTCTCTTAGACTTAAAGCCCTCTCTTCCCCCGTGTGCCACACCCTCTACACTCAAACGTGACGATAACGATGGGAGATGCATTACAATAACTTAATCAACCTCTGGGATGGCTGCCACATAATAGCTAGCCTCGTTAGCCCATACAGAAGAAGCGTGATTTGAGAGACGTCCAATCAGATCCTATTCTAGTATCAGGGATTGGGTTTTATCCTAATGAATCCTGTCAGCTGGCTCATCTAGTCCCCCAGAACAGCAGCAACTGTGTATTGCACTGGAGTGACTGCAATACAGGAGCAACAGGCTCCATCACTGCCACACTGAATTTTCACCAGCAGCTTGAGAGGAAGAAACACAAACACACTCCCAAATTCATCAATCAGCATCCTCATCTCCCTCCTCGCTGCTGTTTTATTTTTTAAAGGAGGTAAAATTGTTGCTTTAAAACGTTACCAAATCGAACAGCATCTTCATGACTTCCTCGTTAATGAGGTTCTTTGAAAAATCGACCAGGATGTCTCCATCGTCGGTGTTGAGGGTGGTACTGTCAAAGACAAGGGAGTGAGAGGGAAACCGTGAAAAAGGCAAACGCAAAATAAAACACAGCACTCTTACGGTTTTTCAGCTCGATGTTATCCTGGGACGATGCCACTCAGGCGAAACAGTGCATTAGTTTTTTTTTGTCACAGCAATTCCTTCACTCCCACGGCTGTGTTAACACAGTAATGAGGTTAAGAAACAAGCACGCTTAGTTGTGACGGGGGCCACCTGCGCAGAGGACAAGGACTCGGGCGTTAATTGAGGAGAGCCGGCGCCAGGCCTGCGGTAATGCACGGTAATTCTTACAGCCCCGGTCTGACTGCACGGTAATTTCCCCCCCCATTTTCTTCCAAACGACCTCGCAGGGCCCACGCCACACCGCTGAAGCATCGTGTGCCCGACAGCACGTAGCCCACCGTGACGACACAGCGGCGTGTGCAGCCTGAGCACCGACAGCTTGCGGTCTCTGAGTCGGCAATGGCGGCGCTCCTCCCCAGCCTAGACAGCAGAGAGATGCCCTCGCCTTCCCTTTAAATTTATTTTTTTTAAACGGGCCTCCCTGTTCAAAACAATCGGGCACCAGTAGTGCCACAGGAGGCCCGGCCGCAGCCCAGACGCCCATTCCGGACGCTTGTTAGCGGACACCTGGCCGTAGGAGCAGGCCAGAGCACCCTGCCGGCTTCCCGGGAGAATAAAGGGGAAACTGTCACTCTGAATCACGGAGATGCCCGATGCGACGGTGTGACCTTTCCGCCTCCTTTCCCCAGTCTGCTACCGCAGGACTGAGACAGAACCAGTCAGAAGAGACCGCTTTCCCTCCCTAGAATATAACCCTCTGAAATGCTGTAGTTGAACGTAGGGTGTCAATATTATATAAGCGTCACTATAAAGCCATTGAAAGCACTTTCTTTTAGCAGGTAAGCGTAAGTCGCGACCCCGCCTCCCCGGGAAGATATACAGGTTTCTAAGTAAAGCTGGCATAACTGAGCGGACATGCATCCGCCTCCTGGGTCGCAATACTTACAGGCTCATATGACATAAAAACGAAACGCGACCTAATTCGTTTCAGCTGAAATGTAACTCAGCGCAACTGTAACGCATGCAACTGCTGAGAGGGGGATTAAACAGGGAAGCAAAAGGCGGCGATTCATCCAGGTGGGCATGTGTCACCCATGCCTCTCACTAGGACGCCCGGCCGCTGCCCCTACCTGAACTTGCCGAAGCGCCCCTGGTCGGCCTCAAACATCTGCCTCATGTTGAGGCTGCCGGCGTTGGCCCTGTACCACTGCTCCAGTTTCTGGAAGCTGGGGTCACTGGTGAGTCCCGGGGCCATGGCGTTGGGGTTCCTGTGAGCCTGTCCGTGCAAACCGAGCGGAGCCGCTGCGAGCGAGTGCGAGTCTGAAGGGCAGCGAACAGGAAATAGCGCCGCCTGAGCCAATCGCAGCGCCGCGGCGGGGCCCCGCCCTCGGTGACGTCACTGCCCGTAATGTGGCGAGGAGAGGCGCACCCCTGAATTCGCCCGACCCAAGAACCGAAGCGTTTTAATGGAGTATTATCCCCAGGGGGCAATTAATAAACATAATAATAATTCCTTACACGTACATAGCGCTTTTTCTGGACACTCCACTCAAAGCGCTTTACAGGTAATGGGGACTCCCACTACCACCACCAGTGTGCAGCCCCACCTGGATGGTCATTAAGATTTTATCATCGATATATCATTATATCATTAATAATTATCACTGATAATTATATTATGTTTAACTACACTGTGCAATATGTAGTGTGGAAAAAGAATAGTTGTTGATAATAAAAACTCCTTACACTTTTCTGGACACCAGAAAACACCCTGCGATTTTTAATGAAGAAGGAGAACGCGGACCTCAGTTTTACATCTCACCCTTTTACAGTATAGTAGTGTATACTGGTGAGCGCCGCCTACTGGCCCCACTAACACCTCTTCCAGCAGCTGCCTCAGCTTTCCCAGTTCACATCACTTGGTGTGTGCTGGTGTTAGCCACAGTTTTAAGTCTTGGGATTATACAGAGTATACTTTTTCGCCTTTTGTTGCATTACGTGATGTTTAACTTAAGGAGTTTAATATAATGTTATACTTTGCAAGATGTAATATGGAAAAGGGAAACGTATTTACAATGAATCTGTTATTAATGACGGGTAGATATAGTATCCACAAAATTCTGCTACCTCTTTTTTAAAGGTTAAAGGATAGGCAAGGCAGTACTACTTCAAAACCTCCATCAAAAACATGAAAAATAAGGCCAAAAGCACAAATGTATGTAAAAATCTCAATTTGTTGAGTTTAGATTTGTAATGAACTCTGCAGACATAGTGTTGTGTCTTTTTTAGTCTTGTTTTTGGATACTGTTTCTTATTTACTTGCATTATATTCCTGAATGAAAGAATTCACCTAAACCGTGCGACTGAAGCCGACATGCTCATTTCCGCCCAGCGCTACATGTAGCACCACATTCGTTTTTCCATATTATATCGAATATTTTCAATATATTTGACAATATCAATAAATGTATAAATGCGACTTATTGCCATTCGCTGTTTATTTTAAATCTGCCTTTCACTCGCTTTTACGTTTACATTACTGTATAAATAAAAAGCATTTACTTTTTTTGTCGGAAAACGTCCGTGACCCTTCCACAGGGTGCACAGTTCAAAGAACAGTGTTCTCCGGTGGTTCTTGCCGAGCCTGTACAACACAAGACCTTGAGTATTCACAATACTCAATCGTAGCCATGCTCGGTACTAATGTCACTGTAAAGCTGCTACATCTGACGTTATTAGATTTGACATGTCATCATCATAGTACTCGCAGAACAGATTCTTAATACTCAGTCCAAAAATTAAATACTGTCTTTCCCCTCATGCGGTCATACCCACATTCGTCCTGGCTAGCTCTCACACGACCTCTAGAGTTTGTTCATAGTTTGTTTTCTTCTTTCTTCAGGAAAGAAATCATGTCCACCGATTATACGCTTGGTGAGCGTTGTATTTATTAAGCAGGGTCTGCTGCGTTTAAATACATCACATTGAGAGAATCGTAAAAACACATACCTGTAAAGTTGTTCAGAAATAGTTTTGGGGATACAGCTCCAGTATTTGAAGCACACAGTTCACCGAATAAGTATTCTGAAGGAATACCTATTCACTTCAGAAAGGTTGTGAAGTGGAAAGCGGAAGACTGAAGATGTGAACCCCTGATCCTGTAACCCCGGTTAATATCATCAACACAGCCTCTTAGAGACACCCTGAGCAAAGGTAAGAGTAAGAGGTCTAGAACTATTGTTCATCGCCCTCTTTAATCCTCCTTAATCCAACTGGACAAGTAATTTCTTGTGCGTGAGAGCTTGACCCAGGTCCGTACACTACCGTGGTCCCTACACTAGGTAAAGCGCTCTGGGATCTTCTGGGATTCAAAATGTTCGCAAATGTAAGGAGTTACTGTGATTAAGAAGGTGCAGTGGCGTTTTTAACAGTGTGTAATATCACAGAAGGACGCTAGAGGGAGCTAAGTTACCACTGCTCAAGTGAAATGTGCTGTACAGTTCTGCCGTGCGGTATCCAGTGTGGGTGGTTAAGTGCTCCGACAGCCTACCTAGTCAGGTACAGGTACCTGTCCTGCTTTCCAGACCTGGAGCTGGGCACCCATGTTAAACTCAGTCTGCTCTGTCGGCTCTTAACACTTGCTCTCTTCTGCACAAGACTCTTCATTGCAAATCCATGCCTGATTTGGCAGTCGCTCATGTGATCTCTGTGAGAAATACAAAAATATCCTACACTTCAGGCAACCACACTAATATGAGGTTGGGGTTACGAAAACATTTTCTGTCTGGTGTCGTACTCTGTGTCTGTGCTTTCTCATTTCTCCAAGTTGTAAGTATGACATATTATCACATTATATTAAATTATATGACATTCTTTTGCATGCTCTCATGTAATTCATATTTAAAAGAATACTAAACCACAAATGAACAATGACAAACAAAATGCAGATGCTTAAAAGTAACAATTTTATTTTCAGCACCATGTGGGTAGAAATTCGCAGCAAAATAGACATGCAAACAAAATGAAAAAAATCTATGTAATTACAGCTGTGGAAAACTGTTGCTTTTTTCAGCCAAGGACTTTAACAAAACCAAGCTAGCAAAACAGACTGGTACTTTGATTTCTTTAGACACACTGTTCTGTCATTATAGGTTTACTGCTCTCAAAACATTTACTTCTGCCTTGGAAATACTTCTTGTCGTGTTATAACTAGGCAGTTTCTCCCAGACTGTATCACTCATCTTCAAACTGAACTCTAATGGAATGGCCTGCTTAAACACCAACAACTGGTTCCACAGACCAAGGTTAACTATACCTGTGGGCTTGTTTTCCTGACACGATACCAAGTAGTTCAGGATTTGTGATAATTGTAGTCTGTAACATCACTGTAACCTGTAGTCTGTAAAGCTGCAAGCTTTGTGAAAGACGAATTTATGTTTTTTTCTGAATCTGGATTGTTGAACACTCAGAACCACTCAGCGCATCAGAATGGTTAGGCATGAAAGAGACCCATTGGGTTCTCTTTCAATCACATGACCAGTGCAGGTCACGCTGGGAAGAAAGGTGAATGGGACTATAGAGAATAGATCAACCCCGATCAAACTAAACTGCATGGAAATAAACCAGAGCACCCATAAAAACCCACACCAACAGGTGGAGCACAGATTAACTCATAACTGAGAAGCAACCAAAGCCAGAACTTAGTGGGGGATCCTGGGCCACAGCCTTGACTCCCACACTGTAGCAGCTGAGAGAGCAATATTGGAGGTCAGACTCCAGTCCACGAGGACTGCTTGGCCATTTAGTTTTTGGTTTTCATCTCTCATTGCTGCAGTGTACCATTTGCGTGGCTAACTGAGCATGTCGCACCATTCTCCAGGTCCCTTCACCACGGCAGGTCCCTCGCACGTCTCTGGAGAGCGTCTTTCACTACCCGGCTCCGTAAGGACCCAGGGGCAAAATACATCTCATTAGGCAGATCATTCGTTCAATTAAGGAGACTGATCTGAACGACAACCTTACAGTCCACACAAGACCCACAGTCTGAAGCTCATGTACCATCAACAACTACAATTGGTTCCGACTTTGTGTGGGAAATAAGAAAGCCCCATCCCTGTTCATAAAATACACACGCACATCTTATAAACAAGTGTACAACGGGCATAGGAAGACAAAATGAAGAGGAGGATATAAAACTAGGAAACGCCAACATAAAATCGCACAATAAAAAATGTTTTTTCTTTTAAATGCCTTTATTATATATAAAATGACAAATATAACTACAGTATATTTCCCTACAAATCTTAATGTGAACCAATGCTAATCCCACTTTATGTGTATACAAAATGACAAAATAGTCCCATAGGTATCCATCTCCAAAAATGTCATTTAAAAGCTATATCTTCACTTCAAGCACAGAAAAGCTGTTCCATGTTATGAAATATCCATTGTTCATCACCTCTGCTGCACTGGCCTGATGTAAGCCGAGTTGTTCTGAAGTTTCCTTGTCAATGAGGTAAGGGCCCGACAGTCCTGCCTTGCGTTGTAAAACAGAATCTGGTCCAAGTCAAAGATGGACAGGAAAGGCCAGTACTCAGTCAGATCTGTTTTGTTTGACAAGGTTGCCATCCACATTATTTCAGTGCAGGAAAAAACATGTCCCTGTAATTTATAGAGTAGGCACACACTTTGAACCATAAGGTAAACAACCATTTTTTCAATTGTTAACCATTGTGTTAGCCAGCACTGTGGGAAGTACCTGTTGGTAAACTGTAGACATGTGAATTTGCGTCTGTTTTTTGAGCCACAGTGTCTTCTGGATTTTTCTCCACCCAACACGTTCACTACATAAATAACTTAACAAAATTGCCTCCATCTGCAAACCATTGGCTTTTGGTATCAGTAAAGTGACATATAAAACCTGTAGGTTTTGGCTCTTTCACACCTGCAGATGGAGTAGTATCACTACTACTCACTGCATAAATGTCCTGAAAAAGCCACAGAAGTAGTGCATTGCTGGAGGTTATTCTGATAAAAGTTTCAGACAAATTCTGTACAAGAAAATAGTGTCTAGGACTCCCCTCAATAAGGTCAAGGCATGCACAATCATTAAAAGTGAAAAGTAGAGAAAAAGTACAGTAGTGAACTATATTTGTGTGCTCATAAATTCTATGCTCCTTTTCCCTACAAATCAAATAGTTAAAAATTAATTAACCCAGAAACAATTCAGACGAGCTAAAATGCCTTGTGAAAGCAAATGGTAGAGATACTGATGATCTCTGGTGGTCTTACCCTGAGAAGTTGGTTTTTGGAAAGAGTGCATTTACCCAGATTTTAAGTG